GGGGTGGAAATGCCTAGATCTGCTTTTGATCAGTCACCTTTGTGCAGAACATGCCTCTTAAAAGTGGATACCCGAAAAGGCCTTTCCTCAGAAAAATTGGCGAATGCGCTGAAGAGCCTACTACCTTAACCACAGAGAAAAATGATGTGTTTATACGTGTAAGACGTGCCTTCCTTAGGCGAAACAACAAGCGAGCTAGTAAGACGACGCCTGAAACTGCGATCAAAAATGCTTTCCTCGTAGAGAACCTACGTGTGTTTTTCACGAACTCTCCCCTCCTACGATGGGGAGGTAAAGAGTGACCCCCGTTAAAGGCCACATGCATGTGCATTTACTCGATCACCTGCTCCTGTGGTGCAGGACACATCGGCTGAACAAGGAAGCGCCTGTAAAGCGGGTACGTAAGCACATACCGGCTTGGTTTAGTAAAGGTGAAATTAGATCCAGCTCGAATTCTATTCTCGCACACCTTGTCAATGCAAATAATCGAGTCCATACTAATGAAGACTTTTAGGTTGTCTATCGGGCAACAGCTAACGTTTCCAAGAGCCTACGCCAACGGGTGCTTGCAACCGCAGAAACAATAGCCATACGGCTGGTGAATCTAGTGCTGTTTTGTAAGAAGACGTTAACACAAGCACCTTCACTTCCCTGGCCGACCCCGACGCAAGGTGGTGGTCCCACACCGGCCCCACGCTCTAGTAAATGTCGTTCGCTCCGTGCAGATATCATTAATTATCACTCCATGTATCCCAACCCTCACCAATGCCCACAACCAACCTCAATTTTCTCCGATCCCTCCTTTTCCCCAATACAAGGCCCTTCTTCACGCCGACCTCGCCATGCGGGCGACGTGAAACCGATGAGTTGTAATCATAAGACACTTATTAACCCTGACCATCTGTACACTTTTCATTATTCATGCAAATGTACTGGCCTGATGAAGAGTTGCTGCAAACATATGTTAGCCAAATCGGCCTTTCATAATAATTTTATGTTGGTATCCTGACTATGGCTGAAGAGAGGTTTTCTGATAAAGACGCAGTTTAGGGGTAAAAATTGTGCCTTCACTATAGTGCTTACGGTGGAAGGAGTCGAGCTATGAGATATTCCTTTTTGCGTTTCTCCGACTCCAGCTCTGCAGTACGTGCACTGACTTGTTCCTCCAGTTCTGTCGAGTACGTCTCCATCATTTTAAACATGTGGTCGACAATGTTCGTTTTCCTATGGTGAGAAGAAGAAAATGGCAGATAGTTTACTGCAGTGATTACAGTCAACCAAGTTGGAGCTTGAATTGTCGGTAAATGATTGATTCAGGTTTTTGTCTCTGAGTATACTTAGGTAAAAGACGTGGAGTACATGGGTGTGGTGATCTACAAAAGACCCCTGTCAAGAATTATTTGCAGGGAAGCCTATTAAAAACTGCTTTATCAGATGGAGAGCATATTTCCTTGTTGCTGTGATGTCTGTTGTGGATCAGGCAAGAAGGGTGACATTTAAACCACCAAACCCGCCTCCTTATTTACATAAAAACACGTGTTCTATGCATTATACTTGATTTCACAAACACGCCTAAGCGCAAATAGATTCTTCTATATATTTTAAAGCATACACCTTGCACTTGCGCGATACCAGTGTTATCGTAGAATTATTGCGTCTTCTAAGACAAGGGGAGAAATGGATACTTTGGTGTGCTTGACACAAAAATGGCTTATTCAATGCCCACTTAAACTGGACTTCCAATCAGAATAGCCGAGAGACTTCTTCCGCTCAACATCCTTCTCCTGAACAGACGCGACATTAATTAACACGGCCACCACTCCAGCGTGAAGAGCTCTGCGAATTTCAGGCTTCCACCAACATTTCGATGGTCCTCGTAAGATGAACCGCGGATAAAGCAGCTTCTGTTATTTGGGGAGTCGGAGCAGCATTACTTTCTGTAAATTCAAACTGTGATCGAGTGTCTCCTTACAAAGTTCACATTGGCACTTAAACTGTGTTGTCCCGCACAGGCCTAGTAATCAGTCGCTACTTAATTCCATGAGGAGAATTCTGTTTTTGAGTAAAAAACAAATATAACTTCTCTGTTTTTACATGATGTTGTCGAAAATTTCCTTGTGCAAAATATCGATGCGAAGTTTCGTTTGTTGCGGAGGCTACATTACGGACGTACTTTCCCATGGTCATGAGCTTCAAGTGCTCGTTCATTTCGTCGAACGTCGGTCTGTGATCCGGTTTTTCGGACCAAGCTCGCTGCATGATTTCCAGATAGGCCTCTGCTATATCCATCTTGACAATCTAAAAATCACGAAAAAAACAAGCCAACCAAAAAATAACAGGTACTGAGTGCCGAATGCCAGGAGGCAAGCAAAGAGCAGTTGTAATTGACACATCAGACTGAGTTGCAGACGCCCTGCGAAACGTTGCATTTGCAAGACCTGTCAATATTTAAAGTTCCTATTATCAGGCCACTGCTGCTGGAATAATTTATAGACGGACCATGGTTTTCAAGGTCATCCACAAAGTAGTTATCCTTCTTGACTTTAAAATGCGAACCCCTATTATTAAACCTATCAAACCTATTATTAAACCCCTATTATTAAACAAGTGGAAAGCTTTTCATTTAAATAAATGATTGATTGGTGTATCCGTGCATGATGAGAAAGGTAAGAAGGAGTTAGATAAGAAAATCGCAGGATAAAATTAGCAGTTACTGTATACTGCACCAAGTTAACAGTAATCCCGGGATGGCGAGTCAGTTGAACTTGGTTGGCAGTCAGAACATGTGAAGGGTGATACTGGCGAGCAAGTTGGTTCCTTCGCAAGCTGGAAAACCGTTATGCTCGACAACCACTATTGTTCCGATAGCGGATTCTTGTTCTGTTTGTTCATGTAAAGCTTATGATGGCGTCTCTCCTGCAAGACAGCTACCCAATCCTATGTCAAAATTTCTAGTTACCTTGATTTTAACTTTCCACAGATAGATTGTAATAATTGAAACAGAGAGCAAAGATAATCTAATGCAAGCCAAGCTACTGTTTTATTACAGAATTTCAAAGGTCCTGGCTTCAAAGACTAACTATCGGCAGTATTCTCCCCACGCACCGACGAATTGTTTAACCC